CCACCAGGTGGTGGACTACCAGCTGGTACAATCAAGAAAGTAAGTGTTCCTTGCATAGCGCCCAGTAGTGCACACACTTCGTTCACTGTTTTGCCACGCAATTCTTGACCATTTACTTCGAGTATTTCATCACCTTCATGCAGTAGACCAGATTTTTCAGCGGCACCACCGCGTACTATACGTCCAATAACCACTGCCTCACCTTCATTACGCACTGTGGCACCGAGTGGTTCTGTTGACTTTTCGATTTGTATAATCCGTATATTGGTTGTATCGTTTTGATCGTTTAGCGTGCCAAAACAGGCACTTAGTGGCGGTGAGTCAGGTCGCATTGAGGAGGTCTTCATATAACCTGCTGGAAGTTGATTTGTGATGTTTTGTGGTAAAGGCATGGCACTACGTTGCGCCATTGGTGGTGGCACTACCGGTGGAGCTACTGCTGTGCCACGTACAATTGCTGGTTTTGGTAGTGACGCTGTTACTGCAGTCGCTGCGGTTATTTGCGGACTACCTGTACCGCTTAATAGCGGTGAAGGCGTTGCATCTGTTAATGTGGCTACACGATCATGCGCTAATAAGAGTCCTTCCATTTCATAACTGGTTAACAAATTTCCTAACTCTATGGCCGTTGGTGAATTCGATTGAGCTAGAAACTCTACGATATCCTTTTGCAAATCAATGGCTCCAGTACTCACTGGATTAGCAACACGTGGTCTACGACGTTGTAGTACTGCTGTACGTGCTGCCAAAGCATGCGCCACACCAGAACCGGCCAAAATATTGTGGGCTGTCGACACTCGACCAGCAAGTGTTGACATACCATTTTTGGAGAGCTGACCCTGGAGTCTTGTTAGTGCACTTAAAAGTTCGCCATACCCTGTAAATAAATTTAAATTTGTTAATTATTCATTTTAATAACAATTAATTTAAAATTAATAAGATATTATAATGATTCATTAAGAAACAAATTTGTTTATATTATAATGTATTATTATTGTGGCGAGGAAATAAAAATATAACAATTGAAAAATAATAAACAACAATGCATTAATAATTTTATGATAAATAATTAATGAGTAATAAAAATTTAATTATTGATGCAGATGTTTATAATAATTGTAATAATTATTTAAATAATAAAAAAATCATTCAATATATAGTTGATTGGCGTGATATACAATATATCACTCAATTTATATCACAAAAACTGCTAAGAGGAGGAGGATGATACAATATCTCTAATTTGTTGTGTAAATCCCAACCTTAGCAGGACAACGCTTAGAAATCCTCTTTCAAGGAGTCTGAAAACTGATATCTGAAGCCTTAAAACAATCGAAAAAGTAATAAATTAATTGAAGAGAAATAAATAGCTCTTGGATCGGAAATACAAATAGAATAAAAATCCTAGGTATGCAAGAAAACAAAATCACTAAATATACAGTACGATGTAAGGATGATTTTAAAATGAACCTACCATTAATTTTTTCCGCTTCTTCATCTTCCATGTAGGCTTCATTTTCTACACCACTGACTCGTTCCACAGCCACAGTTTGTTGTTGCTGCGCCACGGCTTTGTTATCCTGTAAGGCCTTCAGTTTACGTGAACCACGTAAACTTGCACGCAGAAATTCATTTTGCTGCGCAATTCGCTCCTCTTCTTCCCTTCGCCTCCGTAACTGTTCCTACAATAAAGAAGAATAAAAACTATTATATTTCTCTTAAGGATATAAAAATAATGAAATTATATTAAAATTATATAAAATAACAATACAAAAAAATGTATACATAGTATGATATATTTATACAATATATATATATATTATCTATACTTTATTTGATATATATATAAGAACATATGGCTAATACATATTCACATTAAAATTGTTTCTTTAAAATAAGTCGATTTGTTTTTGGCCGTAGTCTTTTACTTATAAATCAAAGATATTAAGAAAAGTTGTTTTGATGACCCACGTTTTTCCATTACAATCTTAATAACCCAATTAACTTCTCCAGAACATACTATATATAAGAATAGATATAAAATGTAGTATATTTTATATCTATGTAATGTTTTGTTTCTCTCAGAATTGTAAAGAACACAGTATGATACCAATAAAATTCATCGGAGTGACTTTCTACCATTTGCTTTTAACCAGTGTTTTCCGACCCTTCTATAATATTCGTAAAAATTTTTAAATTCTTTTTACGTTGCTATCCTATTAATATTTATTTAAACTAAACTACTTCCGGGTCAATATACCTATTGAAACCTTGAACAAACATTTCGGAACATTTTCAATGGTCAAAATTGTTATTAGGTTCCAAAGCTTATTCTAGTTTCTAGGCTTCGACTCTCAAATAAACAGTAACAATGGCATCTTAATGATTTCATTTCTTAGTCAATTTTAGTTAAGGAAACAGCTAGAATCAACACAAAGTCATGGCTAAGATGATGCCTTCTTGGTTTAATTTATCATTCACGCTTTTGTCGATGATTCGTTATCATATGTTATTACAAAAACACTGTTTTTGATTTTTCGATTGATCTCTCCAGCACTGTCTCGCAACTTTGTAAAAGTCCCAATATTCAACTTTCTCCATCTGATCTTTTGCAACGAATTTTTTGGCAACTTTCTTTTTGTCAAAGAGAACCGTCTGCATTGATTTATTGTTTTTAAAACGTAATCTTCTTTAATTTTTATTTCTCCGTAACTTTCTATAGACTGTTTTGGTACCTTCCAAATCGCATTTTTACGTTTGTCTTTACTTCTTATTTAAAACACTGTCTTTGATTACTAATTGCAATGCTGGGAATGCCTATAACGTATATCTTAGTTAAATTTGTAACAGCACAAAATATCCATCATCCGGAATCTCATACTTAAAATCGATTGATTGTGCTATTCGGTACACCGGCTTTCTTTCGACACATAGCTTGTTCGAAGATTTTTTTAACTCTTCCGATGCTTATGTTTGTTTTGTGATTGATTTTTAATTATGGTACTTGGTTTTCGTATTTAGGGTCCTTTGCAACTATCATGAAATTAGCCTAATTAATGCCAAATATTTGCGTGGAACAGACATTGATCCTTATACACGTTTTTTAGCATTCCATATGTTTTAATGCCAGTCTCTTTCATATAAAAAAGAATTTAATTATTGCTTATATGTAGTAGATAATAGATATTGCTGTGCTTAGAGTTTTATTAAAAGAAGTCTTATCGGATCTAAGATAGATTCGTGAATTTTTTTGCCATTATTATTATTATGTTAGGAAATTCGTGCTACGACCTAAAAATGTATTGTGATTCCTTTGTAAACTTAGAGTATTTCTCCATGTCTAATCTCCACTACAATTTGTTGTATGGAACATACATAAAAGAGTTTGACATCCGATAGGAGATGTCCATCTATTTCTGTTTTTCTTGACAAACTCCCAGCACATGTTTTAATATGTTTTATTTTATATAAAATTATATAAAAGAAAACAGTTTTTTTGCGGAAGTGTAAATCTCATTAAAACCGATTCTAAATAAAGCCTAATGAATAGAATGAAAAACTATTCATCTCTACCATAGAAGAACTTAAATCAGTTAAAAATGAAATTTCTTTTTATTTACAATTACTGAAGTAATTTTTATTTTTAACATTTTAAGTATTTGGCACCTTAAGCATTAAAGCACCAAATCATTTAAAACGCTTATCTTAATCTAAATTCATGTTTATTTGTGTTATATTGTACCTCTTCAACCTGGTTTCTACGATTATCAAAAACAACAACAATCGCATTAATTTAATTAGTGCATTCAAAGTAAACTTTTAACCTAACCCACTATCCCCACTCTATCTATCTATCTCTCTATGTAACTATTTAACTGCCCACCCGTAAGCCCACACCTCCAATCATGGGCAACCTACAGAATGGTGTTCCAACGTTTTTTGCCACTTGGAGCAGCTTAACTAAATGATTAAATCATTTGCATTGAATGGCGCTTAAGTGCTGAAATACTTGGAACAGCACAAATGACACAAAATAAATCACAACAATTTGCGACAACAATCCGACAAATGAGGAGGGGCGCATCAAGAATCCAAATCAAAAAAAAAACAAAAAAAAAACCCAAACCATTAAGGCGCCCGCAAGTGGTGAGATACAAACTACATTGTAGTCACATGCGAAGGCATAAATGGTGAAATATTCAAACTATAAAGCATAAACCGATACCATAAATAAAATTGTAGCCACTTGAAGCTGCTGTTTACAAACTGGGAACCGAAACTGGGAGCCGTGAACCGAAGACGGAGAAGAACTAAGAACTAAGAACTGAGAACTGCAACAAGCAACAATATTTTTACTTAATGATTTTGATTTTTTGTTGTTTTTATTGATATTTTTTGCCACTTAGGAAACCTTTCAAGTGTGATTACGTACAATTCAACCGAATACAAAACGAAGAGGCCAAGAATCGAGTGCACCAGCAGCACAAGTGCGTCTTAAGGTTAACATAGGAGCGCAAAAGGGTGACTGCGTCTCCCAACAAGTGAAAATCATTATGCAAAGCACAAAAGTGCAGAATACAAGCACTCAATGTAGCACACAAACTCGGTTCAAAAGCGAAAAATCTAAACATGTCAACATATTTTTTAAATATTTTTTCAAAAAGATATTTTAATAATATTTTATTTTTGTATTTCTTATTCTTATATAATAAGTAAATATTTTTTATTTAATTATATTGTTTCATTGATATTTGCTTGCAACTGAAAATTGCTGCCGCGGCAACCTTCACGGTAGCAGTAGCCAATAAAAATGTGTTGACTCCAGAAGTAGTTTTGACCTTTTAGAAATGTTACCGAATTATTTTTTGCAAATTTGTAAATCACATGTCCAACCATATAAAGAAACCATAATGCGGTTACCTTCGTTTTTGTTGTAAAATTTTTAAACAACAAACAAATCAAAAATTATTTTGGATAAAAAATTGTCGGAAATTCCAATAAATATAATGGAATTTATATAATTTACTCAAGACCATAGACGGTGATGTGTGACAAAGAATAGAGAGAATTTGGATAAAAATGAGACATACATTCCATTCAAAAATATCCGGAATAATTCCATTAAATATAATAAAATTTTTATTATTTACTCAACACCAAAGACAATGACAAAGAAGTGAGAGTATTTAGATATGAAAGAGACATACCTCCCATCCAAAAATATCCGTATGTAGCTATGTCCCATATTTATAAAACACATAAATTTCAGATATTTATAATATATATTCATTTCAGTACGTTCCCAGGGGAACATTGGGCCTTAACGAACTTTTTCCAACTGTCACGATTTTTTGCCAGGATTTTAATTTCTTCAAAAATTTTGCCGCTTGCTTGGATTTCTTTCTCTACTACTCGCTTCCACGTTTACTTGGGCCTAGCATGTCTTCTGCTTCCCTGAGGATTTCATGTTAATGCTTGTTTACAGATTTCATTTGATGATTTCATCTGGTGATATTTATAATTATAATATATCCTAACACGTCAAAAGCTAGAGTTTTTACAATTGTTAACTACTATTTCAGAATTGCACTTTTTCAAAGCAAATGCAATATACATTTCGTCAAAAAGATATGCTGGGCTATACTTTTATAAAATCATTTGAATAAATTATTATTAAAATTTAAAAAAGCTCTTATTGGATTATATCATTCAAGTCGTCACAGACATTATTGAGTAAAAGTGCTTTACCAAGAAAGAGAAATTATATATCAAAATTTGAACATGCTTTAGTTGGTATCTAAAACGATTAAAAGTTTTTTAACAGTGAAGCAATAGTCAAAAACCAATGATTAAATTGAATAAATTTCGAAGTTTCGAATAAGTTTCGAAGTGCTTTCCCACTTAATGTACTCTCCAGATGTGGTCCACTTGGGCTGCTGGTTTTTTGCAGACTTGATGTCTGCTCTAGGATAAAAAAAATGGGGCAAATGAAACACTCAATACCGAAGTTGAGATGCTCCAGAGAAAGAATTTTGGTTCAAAAGAAAAAATTATAGCCTAAATTATGATACTTAAGGAAAAAAATTTAATGCGAATGAAAAAGTAAGAAAATGATTACCGAAATTGAGATGTATATTGAGAGTAAGAACAAAAGTTCCTACTTACTCTTGCTGGAGAATATGTTGACCAACAACGTCCAGTTTCTAAGTAAAATTTTGTTTCTTAGATCTGGAACTTATTAAGCCACGATGTATTATATGGTTAATCGGAATATTTTTCTATTAAAAAGTTAAAAATGCTAATTAAACAAGAAACTTATTATTCGAAACTTATGTAAAATTTTTTCTCCGGTAATTTTGGATTTTAAAGATTCATCTTACGTGACCACAATGCTGATATCACTAAGAGACTAAAATTACTAAATTGGACTATTCATGATTACATTAAATACCCTAGTTTAATATCCAATCTAAATCGAAGGCATAAAACATATAAAAACTGTTCCGTTCCTTTGAAGTATATTTTCAGACTCGAAAAACCGATGTATGTTAATATATAAAAACCAAAACGATGTAAGAACTAAATTTTATATATTAAATCAATTTGTCACTGCAGACGAGAAAATAAATTACAGAAAATGAACTACTTTAGAGACCTTAAAACGCGATCAAAAAAGAGTTTATTTGGAGGAATAAAATAGGCAGATAGCATTAGAAAAGGAGGATACTATTTGTTTGAACGAATTTCAAACGAATAGTTTCTTGTTGAGCTTTTACCGGATAATACCACAGTCTATATATGGTGACATTTATTACCATACCCAACATTCCCAACCTATATCTACAGATTTAGTACCGTTGGATTATTACGGTCTCCACACAATTTTTTAGACAGCCATTTCTCATGCCAGAGAAATGATAAAATCTATTTTTTTATATATATACCTTGTATATAGTACAAGAAGAAGACAGCATCCTCCAAAAATGAGCGTTTGTGACACGGTGATACGGTGGGAGGATAGCACAAAATATTTGGGGGTCACTTTTGACAAACGGTTCAATTGGCTTAAACATTTGAAATACAAACGAAATAGCTGCTCTAAGATTCTACATTTATTAAAGCCGCTATTTAATAATTACCACTTCAACTTTAAAAACAGAAAGTTACTTTATACGCAACTAATTAGACCGGCACTACTGTACGGATGTGTTACATATAGCAAAGCCTCAAATATAACCTTAAGCAATTACAGATAGCTCAAAACCTGGCTTTAAGAAGACTGTTTAAGATTCAATGGTATATTAGATCAACAGATATACATAGAGATCTTAGGATTGACTCAGTAAAAAAATATATCAGAGACAGAGCTCTAAAATTATTCACTAAAGTTGATACGCTACTTAACCCCGCCCTAACAATGCTGAAGTGCACTTCTGGATTCTCAGGAAGATATGTTATGCTGATTTAAGGTCCGTCATCAACTAAAAGACAAATAAATGATATGATTTCTTAGCCTAGTTAAAGCCTAGTGTGGGGTAGTGATAAGCCCCCCAGCCATTATAGAGTAAAAGTGCGTAATAGCACTAACTCAAGAACAAGAAGAAGAAGAAGACAAGGTATCTTATATAGTGCCTTGCTCTTATCCTTATTATTAATACTGTCACTCCGCAGCGGATCTGCAGTGAGTTTCAGAACTCCTATGGACTTTTTTAAAAACTGGGATAGATCTTTGGAAATATCAGTAGCAGACTATTATATACAAAATTCCTTTTAATTTTGTAAACATTTTATTATCTGCTGTACATTGTTTATTTATATTTTAGTAATGTTATTAACCATACACGTGATCAAATTTATTAGTTTTTGCTCCTATTAAGACCTTTTACTATTGAAATAATTAAATAGTGTGAAAAAATAATTATACTGAAGTAAAAAATACTTCTTAATATATATATTATATATTAATATATTAAAAGTATCTTAGAATTATTTGTTCTACACATTTATAACATTGTTGAGATAGTTCTCATGCAGCAATGTACTTTTAGATTAATATAATTTATTATATATACTAAAGGTTTTGAATTAAATAGTTAAATAATTTATATTTATTTAATTTATAATGGAAATATACTTTTAAATAATATATCTAACTATTATAATGAAAGGAAAATTTTTCTAAGAACTATTTACAGAAATTCCCCGAGCTTCACGTGCATTTTAAGCATTCAAATAAAAATGCAAATAAATTGCATAAGTTTCTGTTAAATAATTAATATTTTCATAAAAAAAAAATAATACTATTTATTTAAGTACTGCAAAATATATTTGAATTGTGTTTAAAAAAATAGATAATTAACTATCTATGTGTATATGTATGTATATAGGTATGTTTATTAAATATATACTTTAATAATATTAATGGTTTTCCATACAACCCACTAAACATGTCACTTAAGTAAATGTTAAGTTATATATTTATGTGCCTTTGTACATACCAATATACTATACAGTATATATAACTACAGAATATGAATATTGACAGATATATAATGTATTCATATATATCATATAACAGATTCAGAATTTTTTAAACTTTTGCGCTTAGCAAACAAAATCTGAAGGCACACCTCTCACGTATTAAAATCGTGGGAAATAAAAATTTTTTGCATATTTAAAAAGCACTTAACAATTTTAATGTAAATTATAATATTTATGTACTATATTTTATATTTGAGGAAAAAAATTGTTTTTAATTGAGAAAATTTATATACAACTATATGTATTAATTTTTTTATATAATAACTTACATAAATTAAATAGATATATATAAGTAAATAATTGATGTAATTGATATATACTATTTAATTTATAACAAGTAAATGTATCATGATTAATCAGTTGCATATATAAGGGGAGAACGGGTTTCAAGCCGTTCTGTAATATTACGCATATTACTCATCAAGCGCGAGTAGGTAGATAGATCTACAATCGTACAACCAAAGCTAAGTTTTATCTCCTTTAAAATATGCTCCTTCCCCAATCTTCCAATCTTCCATTCGTAGGCCCCTGAAGGTATGGCTTTTAGTATCTTCAGCGAATTCTGTTTTACCGATTCAAACGACTCAAAACGCTTACCACGAAGGGGTAATTTGAGTTTCGGGAACAGAAAAAAATCGCACGGATCCAGATCTGGCGAATATGGTGCCTGAGCGCTGACAGTTGTGCCGTGTTTGTAAAAATCGCTAAAAGCACTTGAGGTAGTCTCACATTAACAGCTGCTGTAAACAAACTAATTGACAGATGGTGCTCAAATTTGTACCATATGTTTTGAAGAAGGTCTATTACTTAAGGAGTAGTTAACAAACAACAAAATCCGGATACTTTTTGAGCAGAAGATAGAGTGTATAAAAGAGTCAAAAATGATAGGTATATCTGTTGTCATATGTCAATACATATGTATATATATGTTTCAAAGTCTACACTCACAAGTATGTAAATAAGATTTATTGGAAATGAAACTCTTCATATTCTGCAAAATATAAACTAGTATTTTAGTAAAAATACTTGTCTCTCAAGTGAAATAGTATATTTTGTAAACTATAACCATAGTTGCTCACAAAAAAGTACCCTGTCAATTTCTTATCTTAACTATAATCTCTATTCTAGAAGATAATAAAAGTTTACTATTAATAGTTTTGTGAGTCTTTCGATTCATTCATTCTTGAGAAGCTCCCACCAAAAATCTTTAATCGAGAAGAATTGCCTCACTTCATAAACATTTTTCACTTGAATTGTTAAAAAAATTCTTTCAAATATTTTAAGCCGAGTTTTTATTAATTAATAAAAACAATAATAAAAACAAGAAATAACAACAAAAACAATAACAAAACAAAAAACAACAAACAAAAAATAATATAAATTTTGCTTGAAAAGAAATTTTTATTAAAAAAATATACCAGCCAATCTATGTAATAACATTAAAATATTTTGTTTATATATAATATTTTAAGTATTTGTTGTTGTTGTTATTGTTTTTGTTGTTTCTTTTTCCACACTTGAACACTTTTTTCATACTTTAACAGTATGACATCATTAAACAAATTTTTTATATTTGTTTAAGCAACAACAAAACAAAACTTGGTTAAAAGGTAAAGCCGTTTCAATTTCATTCCATGCGTTGTTGTTGTTCTTTATTGACTATTCGGCTGTTGTTGTTGTTGTTATAAATACTCAATATGAAATAATTGTTGTTGGTTTATTTAAAAGCATATGCGAAATTCTTGCTGATAATTAATAATTTTATTTTTATTACATTATAGCCTACATTGTTGTTGTTGTTGTTTCTGTAGCTACTCGCAATGTTGGAAACATGCTTAGTGTGAAACTATTTACTTGCCTGTTGTTGTTGTAAACGAAACGATAAATTGATTGGTGAGCCACTTTGCGAAAAGGAAGAATTTAGTTCAGTTTGTGGCTGTTGCTGCTGTTGCTGTTGTTGTTGATGTTGGTTTTGTGATAAATTATCTTCACTGTTATTGCTATCACATTCTATTGCTGTTGTTTCTCTTGTTGATGTTTTTTTAGGTGTTAAACTTATTTCACTTAAATTATTAATATCACAATTTGTATTATTTAAATTATTTATATTACTATTATTGTTATTGTTATTGTTATTATTATTCGCATTTGCATTCGCATTCGCACTATTCGCAGCATTAACACTTTTCATATAATTCAAAAGCAAATCATCATTAGTGTGATTGTTGTTGTTGTTGTTGTTGTTGTTGTTATAATTGCTTATGTGCTTTTGATAATTATTGTTGAAATTTGTGTTCACTTTATTTCCATTGGCACTTGTTGCTGTTGTTATTGTAGTTGTTGTTGTGGCCGCTGCTCCAGCCGATGCAGCAACAATAGTTTCTGGCATTAACACCGACGGCGCTGCGTTATTATCAAGTGTGATGTTAAGTGTGGAGACTACCATTTTGCAAGCGTTTGGGGTGGGGGAAAGTGCTCATGTGTGTAGTCTCTTACGTTCATTGGAAGTTCATTTGAAGATTATATAAATTTGTTATTTATTAAGCTGTTGAGTATGTGTTTTTATTTTAAATATTTTAATTAATTTAAATTGTTCATTATTGGCAGGTATTATCTATATATGGAAATTCAAGGAATTTAAAAATTTTATTTTTAATTTATTGTTGAAATGTTTTTTTCTTTTTCAAAAATATTCACGTTCACTTGTGCATTTTATGAAGGCATTAGTTGTTGTGACTAATTCTTATTATTTATTAACTATTAGTATTATTAAATATTATCATATTTTGATTATAATATTATTATAATAATATAATGTATATATATATGTATATATATATAAATAAATACTATACTTAATATAAAATACTTTTTGTTGGCTTATTTAAAAGCATATGCGAAATTCTTGCTGGCTTATTTAAAAGCATATGCGAAATTCTTGCTGATAGTTAATAATTTTGTTATTTTATATATATATATATATATATATATTATTATTATTATTATATTGTATATTATTATTATTTTAATTATTTTGAATATTATTTTTGAACTATTATTGAACTAGCTATTTTAAAAACTACTTTAATAATAATTATTTTAAAAACTACTTTATTTTAAAATTAATTATTTTATATTTAATTATTTCAAAAATTATATTAAATTTGAAATGGATAGTTTGTTTATTTTCGAATTATTTAAGTTTCAATTATTTTAAATATTTATTAATTTTATTTATTTAAACAATTATTTTAATTTCAAATGTTTTAAAAAATATTTCAATTTTAATTATTTTGAAAATTATTTATTTTATTATTTATTTAATTATTTATTTTCACATATTTAAAAATGACTTGAAATTTAATTAATTTAAAAATTATTTTACTTTTAATTCGTGTAGAAATTATATCAATTTTAATTATTTTAATAACAATGAACTTACAACAACAACGATGTTATTTTGTTTGCACAAAATTTAATGAAATCAGTGCGATATAGTAAATATTCTAAGTACGGCTTTTGATCGGTTGGCTAATTAACACTGACTCTGAACTTTAGATTTGACAAGCAACAAGTTCAGTTCTTGGTAATTGCAGTCTTAGAGTATATTAAACTTATTAAAAAATAAATTTTAAAAGTTAATTGATTTGCAAATTTAAAACTCATTCAACTTTAATTTATACAACTATACATGAGTCGAGAAGTTAAGGATTTTATGGATCGGTGTTAAAGATTTGATATATTTGTATATTTCCATAAAGACAACTAAGTATAGATATTCGGCAATACCCAAAACAGCTGTGTACTTAGTCAAAAATTCAATTAATTAAAAATAAATATTTTGTTGTTGTAATTCACAACTTTTCAAAAAAACCTTTTAATTTTCTATTAAAACTATTTTCTAGAAAATAGTTTATTTTGTCATACTCGGAATTGATAATTAAAAATCAATGATAATTAATGATAATTCTTTATTTATTGTTGATTATTTTAAACAACTTTTTCGAAGTAAGCATTCAGTAAAGTTTTTGTATGAGACACAGTTCTATTGTTTTTTAAATACATAACTATTTTTCTTTATTGGCTTGCCTCTAATGACCTAAACAGGAAAACTTAAGTACTTAAGTTTTTATTTATGCTCCCAGTTTCCAAATGTAAGAAAAAGCGCTATGTACCTTTTTCTAATAACCAAAAGTGATATATGCAAATAAAAGATAATGAATCTATACAGTTGAGAAGCAGTGTGTTTAATAACATATGAGACTATTAACCTTAGTTATATTTCAAGTTAACTGAAATGGTGCCTGTAAGTATCATTATAGTACTTAAAGATAGGTTCCAGAACGCCTTGTGGCACTTTTCTATAACCACAACGCATTGTGATATTTATCAATGATTACGATGCGTTGTGGCACAATTCCAAACAATAATGAAGCAATATTCATGTTATGGTAACTGTAAATACAGCCAGAACGCATTGTGGAAATTCTTAACGATCACAACGCGTTGTGACACTTCTCAATTATTATAAGGCGTTGTTATTTTTGCTGTTTTTACAGCTACCATAATAAAAATGTTGCTTCATTATAGTTCTAATATTGCGTTGTGACTATTTTTACAACTGCCATAACAAAAGTTTCGATCCATTGCCACGCATAACATGTTGTTTTTCTTTTTTTTGTTTGCTAAATAAGTGTTTTCAGTCTAACATATTGTTTATATATAAACTTAGTTGTGCACTAACTGCTTGAGTAAGTAGAATGCAGGAGTTTTCTTTATTGTTTTCTTATTTTTTTAATTTTTCGGTTGATTAATATTTAGTAGGATAATTCTTCTGTATTGTGATATTTTCCTTATATAATGCATTTAATTTATAAAATGAATACGATTTTAAAATAATTGTTTCGTTTATTAGAGAACTGAATGTAGTTATTAAAATTATAAATATATAGAAGAGTTTGAACAAACAACAACAAATATTTTGATTAATTTATTGAAATTTAGTTAACCATAGAAGGCTGACCATATTGCCAAGTACTCATCATCAGTGATCTTTGGAAATAATCGAATTTTTATTTAATTAGTTTATACTCTGATATAATTCGTTGGACTGCAAGTGCCAGGTGCCTGGCAATTTAGGAACGTTGACTAAACGTGTTTTTTCGCAATATACAATATATATTTATAAATTATATGTAAAGAAGAAAAAAGATATTATATTATTTAAATATAGGATTGGTAAATTGTTTGTCCCTATAATTGTCCCTATAAAAATATTTATGTGAAATCGCTGAATTTCTTGATGAAGATATAACAGAAAAATTGGTCAATATAAAAACCTTTTTTAATTTAAAAAAACCTATATATATTTCATATATATTAATTAATGAATTAATTTCAGAAATTCAATAAGAAAAATATGTATTCATATTTGTCATTTTCATATGAATGAAACGATTATTATTAAAGAAATGTATCAAAAAATTGACGAAAATTACTACAAATCTTTTTTTTAATTATATTTCCAAATAAGTACTGCGTTGAGACAGTTTTTATTTAAAATTTATTTTGCAAGAAAAACCACATACGAGACATTAACATACTAAACTATTTAATATTGTTACGAGACTTCATTTCTCAACATTGCCAGAATTCCCATTAAAAACTCAAAAAAAAAAACAAATTAAAAAAAAAAAATTAAACAAAAACTTTACCGCAATGTAAAATTTAATAAAATAAAAACAGTAACAAAAATAATTGAAAAAAAAATAGAAGAAAATTAATTTTTATTAACGTTAAAATTGCGATGTCGACCTCTTGTCAGTGAAAACGTTTAAGGAATATTAAAATAAAATTAAAATAAATAAATTAAAATAAAAATAAAAAAAATAAACAATTTAATTATCGTCATTACGATTTTGTTGTTGTTTTTTTTATAAATTGTTGCAATTTAAATGCAACGAAGTATTTTACATTTAAAAAATTATTAATAAAAAAACACAATATTTTAAATTTTAGTTAAATAAAAAATAATATTTCTTTATTAATGTTTGTGAATTTTTTTTATAATTTATATACATGTAATTTTTTATTTTTTTTTTAAATTTTACAATGCACAACGCGTTGTCTTTAAAGTGTACGTGATTTGTATTTAATTAGTAAGTCGTATTTCAAATTTTTTTTTTATTTTGTTATTTTAGTTTTATTTATTTAGTTGCGATTTATAAATTTTTTTATTTATTTATTAAATTAACACATTTGGCTTATTTAAAGTTCGGTTGAGAAGAACGCCTATACAAATTTATTTTATTTATTCAATTTTATTAATAAGGGCATATGTGTCATAAACAGTATTTGGGAGTGATGTTGTGAATCATGGAAGATTTTTAAAATGTTTTAAGTTTATTTGTTTAAAAATAATTGTTATCGTTTATAATGAAAGAGATTAAAAACCGCATATAAAAATAAAAATTATTTTATTTGAAATATATTTAAAATACTGACTGGAACATCTTTATTAAAAATGTTTTTATTCTATACAAAAAACACTTCTTTATTATGAATTCACACAACCACGACATATTAAGTGGTTTTCCGGTAGGTTTATAAAAGGTATTTCCTCTTATTATTTAATCATATGCACATTATACAAATATACGATATAGCACATATACATATATATATATTTAAACATTTAATTTCCAGGTGTCCAGTATAAAAGAGCTATTAAGTTCACTGTACTCTGCTCTATTGTGAGCCTAAATATGTACTTTATGCTAAATTAAGTCGAATTGAATTAACTTCCACAGTTAATTTCAACTAAATGACTTCATAAATAAAGAATAAAACTAAAATTCACTTTTTTAGTCTGAACGATCTAATATATATAGTGTGTTATATATCACTTTTGGTTATAATAGACCATATACCAACTTCAGTATTAGGAATTAGTTGTGGGTCTATTATTATTCCATTTTAATAATAGAAATGCAGTAATTGTAAATAATTAAGATAAATTAATTAATTAATAAATTTCTTCATTAATTCAATATAATAAACATAATAATGTAATAATATAATATATATATATACTGGGCAAATCAAGTGAATTGCTACTTTTCAGAGTACTAATAAAGGTCGTATCATACAGACAGTAATATGACTGACAAATGGTCACGTCCAAAATTTTATGCTTCTTTATAATAACCATAAAGAATACCAAGTTTGATGGCATGAACTTCATCTCTATTGTTGAAGCAAGCAATCCTTTCTTGTTATTATTATAGCCAGCAAAGATATATAAAACAGATAATATGAAAAAAATTACAAAAATGTATATGTGTAGTTCAGGATGTGGATAGATAATAGTAGTGTGAAGTGTAAGTGAATTGTCTGGGAGTAAAAATGGAATTTGAAGACGAGACGAGATTAAATTGAAGTCAACTTGTGTCAAGGTGGAGAAACCTACTCACTTCAAT